GTTCAGCAGAGGGCGGCTGGTGGCCGTCCAGGGCACGAGACCACGGCAGGGTTTAGAACCCTCATTTGGGGCGGGCCGACGAACGGAACGCGGAGAGCGGGGCAGGGAGCGCCAAGGGTCGTGCGGGCTGCAGAATCCAGGCACAAGACGGGGGCTCCCAGAGAACAATAACAAGGGGGATCCCCGGGCAGAGGCTGCAAATCTAGAGACCGTACTCACCATAAGAGAAAGCGGGCTGAGCAAGGAATAGCCCCGTCAAGAGACTGCGCGGCCTCACCTTGGGCGAAGGAACCATTTAGGCGAGAAATGCCTTCTCGGATGCCCTCCTTCCCCCTTAACGCCCCGCGAGGAGACTAGTTTTTGCTCTTTACCCACTGAGCGCCCTCAGGATCACAGGCCAGGCCTCCGACACCGCGGCCCGGATGGAGCCGCTCACTACTCACCCTCCCCTCGAAATATTTCTCCTCCACGTCGCTCATGTCGGCACGTTTTTAACAGCAGCAGGACGAGCAGCAGGAAGCCTCAGTCCGTAAGTTCTGCGCCCGACACGACACGAGGGGCGGGGCCAAGTGAATACCTCGCCCCTTTTGTCACAATGGAAGCGCTTGCCGCCACAAAGACTGAAGCAACAAGTTGTGGATTGGTGCAAGCGCAGTGACGGCCGTTCAGCTCAATTCCAGCGAATCTCGGTTCTGATTAGGAGCGCGTGTAGTGAACTGGGGCAACCGTGCTTCCCTTAAGATTTATTAATTGCTCCGATTTAAAACAGTTGTGAATTTCTTTCCTGTGTTTGTAGCTATGGATACTGTTGAAATCTTGCAGTTATTATACATATGAAATGTATCTACACGACCACTACCAACGGTATTGGCAACAAATGGTGCAAGGAGATGGCCCTACGGAAGATCTGGCCACAATACAGCGCTGGGTTGGTACCACTGGACTGAACAGTTTAACATCTACTGGACACTACCTACCTGCATAAAAAACCACCTGCATCTAATGAATGACCATTTTGTTTAAATTTGAGCACTTTATTTGTAATATTCGTTGGTTTTTACTGTTTTTATCCTGTTTTTATGTATTGGCATATTTTGCCCTCTTGTAAGCCGCCCTGAGCCCGTTCGCAGGGAGGGCGGGGTATTGGGAGTTTGTCCTGTTGTTTTACCTATACAAGTCGTAATCGTAGATGTTTTAATCAGTCTGAACAAAGAATCTCTCTGTGTTTCAGTGCTCTTCGTTTTAATAAAGCTTTTCTATAAAAGACTATGAGACGATGAGTTGATTGAACCAGGAGCCTGACAGCAGGGCTAACAGAGCTGAGGTCAAGCAGAACGGGAGTGCAGTCCAAAACTGTCCCGCAGTATCAGTCGAGCAGGGTTGCCAGTTCCATGAGACGATACTGCCAGAGGTTTGGGGATGGAGTCTGGGGAGGACAGGGAAGTCAGTGGAGTACAAGGCGACGGAGTCTGCCCTCCAAAGCATCCATTTCCTCCAGGGGAACGGATCTGTTACCTGGAGATGAGCTGACATTCCAGGGGATCCCCAGGCCCCACCTGGAGGCTGGCATCCCTACAGTCGGGGCATTCCGCCCCCCCTCCATAAAACATAAACACCCTGTACTTTGCAAAAAACAAACAAACAATGCCTTGTCCTTTGAAAAGTCTGTTTGAAACTGGTCTCCACCACATTCACTGCCTCTTGTTGTTTATTCCATTAAAAGGGCCTGTCTTGTAAATGTGCCACACGGAAGCTGACGTGAGCCTTTCCAATCAGGGGTCTGCAAACCACCAAGGTGAGCCACAGAAGGCAGCCATGTCCAACCCAAAGTGAAACTGCTGGAATAATGCTCAGTCACGGGGAGGAAGGAGGAAAGCAAAATTAACCCGACCCCCCCCCCCCCCGCGCCAATGAAAGATTATCTCAGAGAAGAATGACTTTAAACACCAAAGGCAAAGTTCACCCGGCTGCAAAGCGAGCCAGGAAAACAGTTGGAACTATTCCGTACGTCCATCGATCCTGAGTGCAGAGTGCAAGTTCAAGGTACAACTCAGGTTTTTAAACACACATACACACAGAAAGACACTAATCCACCTGCTCACACTACCCCCACTTAACCAGTGCCCAGTTTCTGGGTCCCAAGGTCATCACTATTGATATTTTTGCAGGGAGAAGGCGCTTTGGTAGTATTTTAAATGCAAGCGGCTTGCATTGTTAAGTTTCACTCCCATCCCTCAAAATTATACTTCTGAATACGACCAGTGCGGCACGGACCCAAACGCACATGCATACACCTTCACAGAATCTGCACCAGAGGTAAATTTTGGAGTGTGATAACGTATTATACACAGGGTAAATGTTCAGCCCATCTATAAGTCTGAACCTTCCCTCCCATTCCATTGTATTTGAAAAAGTGTGCCTGCACACAAAAGCTCATACCTTGAATAAACCTTTGTTGGTCTTAAAGGTACATAAGAACATAAGAGAAGCCCATGTTCGATCAGGCCAATGGCCCATCTAGTCCAACACTCTGTGCCACACAGTGGCCCAAAATACCAGGTGCCATTAGGATGTCCAGCAGTGGGGCCAGGACACTAGAAGCCCTCCCACTGTTGCCCCCCCTCCAAGCACCAAGAAGACAGAGCATCCCTTGCCCCAGACATAAGAACATAAGAGAAGCCAATGTTGGATCAGACCAATGGCCCATCCAGTCCAACACTCTGTGTCACACAGTGGCCAAAAATACCAGGTGCCATCAGGAGGTCCAGCAGTGGGGCCAGGACACTAGAAGCCCTCCCACTGTTGGCCACCCCAAGCACCAAGAATACAGTGCATCACCTGCCCCAGCCTGTGAGTTCCTATCTATACTTTATGGCTAATAGCCACTGATGGACCTCTGCTCCATATATTTATCCAGTTCCCTCTTGAAGCTGCCCATGCTTGTAGCCGCCGCCACCTCCTGGTGCCAATGGACACGAAATTTCTTCTACTGCTTCAGACCAACACGGCTGACCACCTGTCTTATAAACAGTTGTGCTTTCCTCAGCCCTTTTGAACAAATATACCCTCAGCATTTACCACAGGGTAAATGAAGTCAGCATGTGACAGGCGGAACATGACTTTTCATAACAGGCAGCGCATAAAGCAGGCGGCCCCAAGACTTTAGATAGAGGCTGCAAACAGGTAAATGTGGAGTGGGGGTGAGCGGGCTGCCCCCACACCTCAGCCTGCGTTTGCCCGATGCTTTGTGCTCCGATTTAAAGCTCCCATTCCTTCCTTGGTAGGTTGCTGGAAACTCTGCTACTTTTAGTAGCTGCCTGTGTGTGTGTGTGGGGGGGGTCTGACTCTGCCAAGCTTCCAAATCCACACTGGAAGACAGACCGTTTACCTGGCTCCTGTTTGCGACAGGTATTGTGAACGTCCTGGCCGAGAATCCCTTGCCGCACACATGCGCAGCCTGCAATGCGACAACATGGCTCTCCGGCAAACCAGACCAACCTGTCTGAGACCTCCCGCAGGCAAAGACACCAAGCTTGCTCGTTCGCTTTCTCCGATTCCCACCTTTGCTGTTTGCCTCTGCCGGGCACAGAAAGAACAGAGTGGAACTGGATGGACTTATGACGGCTTGCTTGCCGTCTGCTTCGGGCAGGTCCCTCCAGCCGAGCCTTCTGTTTCCAGCGGTGGCCTGTTAGTTAAATGCCCCGGAAGGCCCACAAGCAGAGGCAGAGAGGCCCAAGTCTCCCCGGCTGTTCTGGTTTTCAAAGACCTTGGAGCACGGAGGTTCCTTTTTGCATCACGATAAAAAAAAGCCAATCATCCTTCCAGGAAGAGCCAGTCTCCTTTAAAAATCATTATATCCAGCAGCAGCAAGTGTCAGCTGTGCTGCCATACTGTTTATGGGCCCAGGTTCGCTTTCATGACATGCGTGCCAGTTGCTGCCGCATTCCTTTCTCTGCTCTTCTCCCCTCGTTATCACTGACCTTGTAGCCTGCTTATGTAGGGTCTTCCCATCAATTAACCGTGTGACTAGTTTCGTTTCCCAGCCTCGGCTCTAACTGATCTGGTCCTCCCCTTCCCGCCTGCGGGAGTCAGGCCAACTGGCCATCGGTGTGGGGGGGGGGGCACATTTGAATGGCTGTGTCTGTCCTGATAACACTCCATTCTTGAATTCAATCTCTGAAATGGACTGCCTGCCTGTTAGTAGTAAGAACCTGAGAAATTCCCAGAGTTGGACCCTTAGTCTTATTTCTTGGGACATTGCTGGGTGGGCTAATAAATGGGGGGGGACTCTGATCTAATGAACTTTCTATTAACTTTCGACATGATTTCCCCCCCAAGAAACTTGGTCCCCCAGTAATGTTTCGATTAATGGATTTACTTCTTATTCTCTCCCTGCAGTGAGACCAAATCGGAAGGGGCGTTATATGGCAGGGCTTTGTGGGCTGTTTAATAATGCTTCTAAATTGTCTATTTTGCAATTGGACTCTTGCCCCCCCCCCTCGCACAGGCGTTTCTTCTTCATCTTAGGGACTTCCAGTTGCTTTTAGTTAATGTTTATATGCCCCCTTGGTGTGACAATAATTCATTTAAGTCCCAATAGAACTCTTTGAAAGATTATCTTACTGTTTTTTTTAATAAATACTCTGAGGCCGCTTTTATGGCAGTGGGGGATTTTAATGCTAGACTTGGTTGTAATCAGGGCTATTTTTGGGTAGGAATGCACAGGAACGGAGTTCCGGCTGGCTTCCAAGTTGGCCACGCCCATCAGGAACTCATTAGCATAATAGGCCACACCCAACAGCAGAAACTCATTAGGATTGGCTACAATTAGGGGTGTGTGGCCTAACATGCAAAAAGCCCTGGGTTTTGACAACAAACAAGGTAAACAGAATAAGAAGCAAAAGGTGGGTGTGGCTGGATGAGCACACTTCTGGTAACATGGGGTGTGTGGCCTAATATGCCAATGAGCTGTGCTGTCAGGGGTGTGGCCTAATAGGCGAATGAGTTTCTGCTGTTGGGTGTGGCCTATTATGCTAATGAGTTCCTGCTGGGCTTTTTCTACAAAAAAAGCCCTGGTTGTAATAATAAACACCTTAGCAATATTTTCCATTGGGATGGCGACGACCAAACCCCCTTCCCTTCCCTTCCGCCTAGGCAGTCTAGGGACTCAGTTGTTAACCAGGCTGGTCACAGGCTGATAGACCTATGTATTCAAAATAATATTTCTATACTTAATGGTTCCTTTCAGTATGATACCCCTGGTAACTATACCTTTATTTCTCCCAGGGGATGCAGTGTTGTGGACTATGCAGTATCCTCTATGGATCTGAGAGACTGTATTACTGACTTTTCCGTTGGCTCCGGGACCAAAGTGATCACCTTCCCATTTTATTGTCCATTCAATCTGGTTGTCTGCTAGACAACCAGTGCCCACCTTGTAGCTCTGAACTTAACTTATACCAGCACAAAAAATAAGCTGTTCTGCATCTTCTCTGGCGCAGATTCGCTCCTGGATGTCTAGCTCGCAGGGCTCTGAACTAAAGTGCAATCTTACTAATGCTAGTTCACTGGAAGATGCACTTATAGCTTATAACTTTATAATTGATAACCTCTCCTCCCATGCTAAATCAATTGAACCCAGTACTCAGAATGACTCCCTTAATTCCTGGTTTGATATTGAATGCTGGCTTATTAAAAGTAAATTACGCCAGTTCTTTCGACAGTTACGGAGGGGTTCTTTCCCATGGATCCCCTCCTTATACTACAAGCTTAAAAGAGAAGGCTGTTTATTATTGGCTCAAAAAAGCATTCTTTCTACTCCAAGAAATGGTCTCAACTTTTTAATGTTGTCCAAACTAATGATGGTAGAGCTTTCTGGTCGCTGGTAGGTAGACTAAATTATCCAACAGGAGCCAATTCTACTTGCATTATACCTGCAACCAGATGGCATTCCTATTATAATTCTTTATTCAATGAGCACTTTGTATCTTCCTCGATTAACTTTAGTTCTATGCCATCGGACATTCCCAACTGGCCCCCAGTATCATATGAAGAAATATCTGCTCTTATTATTTCTCTTAAATCTAACAAGGCTCCTGGCTTAGACGGAATTCCAGCCGAGATTTTAAAGGACAACATTGATTGGTGGTCGCATTCTTTAGCTCATCTTTTTACTTTGATTGACAAGTATGGTGTTCTACTGGACTCCTGGTTGAACTCTATAATAGTTCCCTTCTTTAAAAAAAGGTGACCCGAATAACATAGATAATTACAGACCTATTAGCTTGCTTTACATTTTAGGGAAGCTCTATGCCAAACATCTTCTCAATAAATTATCTAAATGGATGATTGATCATAACCTTCCAGGAAGAGAGCAAATTGGGTTCTAGGCTAACCACTCTACCTTAGACCACTGTACTACCTTAGCCTTTTTAGCTGAGAAGTATTCCCGCCACTTAGGTGGCAAACTATACTCAGCTTTTATCGACTTACGTAAAGCCTTTGATTCAGTTAATAGATCCTTGCTATGGGATAAACTTTATAATTTGGGATTGGATCAACGTCTTTTGCTTTTGATCCGTAAATAACATTTGGCTAACTACTGTCAGATTCGATTTGATAGGAATGGGTCCCTTACTCAGAAAATTCCTGTAACTAAGAGGGTTAAACAAGGATGTGTACCTGCTCCTTCCCTTTTTAACCTTTTTATTTCTGACCTCCCACAGTGCCTAGCTAAAATTGATGGTCATTCCCCCAAACTGAACTCTTCTGCAGTTTCCATATTACTTTATGCAGATGATGCGGCCATTCTTTCCTTTACTAGGATTGGACTTATGCGCCTTTTATTCGAGTTTAACTCTTACTGTAATCGGAATTCTCTCTCTATTAATTTTGATAAATCAAAAATATTGGTCTCTTCCAAAGCCTGGAAGTGTAATCAGTGGAGAATAGAAAGAAAAGAAATGGAACAGGTCAAATCATTTAGATACTTAGTTTTGTTTCATTACAACTTAAGTTGGTGCCCTCATAGAGATCATTCTCTTAGCCTAGCTAGGAATAAGATTGCAGCTTTAACTCGTTTTTTTAATTTAAAAGGTAATCAGTTTGTCCCGGCAGCTCTCCAGATTTTTCAGGCATCTGTTATTTCTCGTTTACTGTATGGGGTACCTATATGGATCCAAAACTTTAATAAAAAAGTAGAACTAATAAATGCTACCTTCTTTCGTAGGATTTTAGGTTTTCCTAACTCTGTGTATCTTATTTCTCTCTTTGTGCGGAGTTAGGCGCCCACCTTATTGAATCTCGGGCGTGGATCACCTTTATTATATATTGGTTGCATTTGCACTTTAGTTCGCCCCCCCAACAGCCTCATTGTTCAACTTCTTGCAGACCCATATATTTCTACTTGGTCACAAACTATAGTGCAGAAAATCAAATATGGAGTCTGTTCCCCATGCTTCCTTGACCCCCCCCCCCAAGCCTCTATGGCTTTGTACATCTCTAATCTAACAATCCCACTTTATCGGTGGGTTTTATGCTAGTGAGATTCAATCTTTTCCCCTCAGCTGTTTTTTTAGGCAGATATAGGGCTATCCCCTATAGGGACAGAACTTGCAATTGCCTCTATAGTGAACCTGATTCAGTTGCTCATATCCTTCTACGTTGTCCTCATTATTCTACTATGCGTAGCTATCTGATTAGTCCCCACTTACCTACCACAAGGAATCCGACTGACAACAACCTTAAAATTCTATTGTCTGATAAGTTCTCGGCAATTACTTTGTCTGTTGCCGAATTCTTAGCCTATGTTTGGAAGCTTAGGGTAAGGGTGTACAAGTCCTATCCCCCTTGTATTCTTTAGAATTGTTATATTCCTGTTGCTAATACTTCAAATTATACATATAAATTACCTAAATGATTTTTGAATTTTGTATTCTACTAGAAACTACCTAGGAAATTTGTAGTTTTGATCTAATATAAAGTGTATGTTATTCAAGTTTATAGTTCTTTCTGGTTGACTATGTTAGAGTTTTGTGGTTTTTATTGATATCAGACTGAAGAATTTTTTAGAAAACTTGTATCTATTCTCTGTTAATTTGTTGTTCGTTTGGTTATAAAATTAATAAAAAATATATTTTTAAAAAAAGAATTGTTATATTCCCAACTGAGTTTATTACTTCCGAATAGTTTAAAAAAGATCCCTTGTTGATGCAGCTTGGTGTAATTTCGTTCTATTTATTTTCCATTTGTTTCATTGTTCTCTTTGTTGCTGTGTTATGCCAATAAAGGTCTATGCAAGAGAGAGAGAAGACCCTATATCTATGTCTGTTTCCAAATGGTAGTTATTCCTAACAGTGAACATGTTCCTGCAACCACAGTACTGACAATAAAGTATAACCTTTCCAGAAGCACGTACTCAATTGTTTGACTGTGGGTCCTGACACCAAGTTCCACAACTTAATGACATGTTGTGCGAAATTCCTTTTGTCGTGCGTTCTCTCTCACTGCTTTCCCTCAGTTGCCCCCTCCCATATCCACCCACTCCCTTAACAGGAAAAAATGCACCTTTCAAAGGCCACTTTGGTGTAGTGATTAGGAGCGCGGACTCTAATCTGGGAGAACCGGGTTTGATTCCCCACACCTCCACATGCAGCTGCTGGTGTGACCTTGGGTCAGTCACGAGTTCTCTCAGAGCTGTCCTCTCAGAAGCAGTCCTCAGAGGGGCTCTCTCAGTCCCACCTACCTCACAGGGTGTCTGTTGTGGGGAGGGGGAGGGAAAGGAGATTCTAAGCCGCTCTGAGACTCCTTCGGGTAGCGAAGCGCAGGGTATAAATCCAATCTCCTTCCCTTGGTTGCCTATTTTCTTCATTTATGCATCACTTTTCTCCATAATGAGGACCCAACAGTCCTGTGAGGTAGGTCAGGCTGAGAACGTGTGACTGGCCCAAAGTCAGCCAGCGAGGAGTGGGCATTTGAACCTGGGTCTCCAAGATTCCAGTCCGAGGGCCTTTGCTCTCTCTGGGATGCCAGCTTGGACCATCCTGCCAGGCTCCCAAAAGCATGCACGTCCATCAAATGTTCTGAACTGGACTGTTTATTTATTTATTTATGCAATTTCTACCCCGCCCTCCCAGCACGGGCTCAGGGCGGCTTACAACAATGGCACCAATGGTCAATAAAACAATATACAACAGTACAGTACTTAATAAAAATATAAAATCGTATAAAATCCTAAAGTGCTAGTTGATTGTGTAATTCATTACTTACAATGGCGCATTCAGGCATCTAGACAACTGCTAAGTTCCAGCTCTCTGTCGTCCCGCGTCACTCAATGGAAATGAGCAGATGTTAAAAACCAAGGGCCAGGCTCGTTGATGGTAATAGTGGAGGGATGGCTCCTAGTTGAAAGCCTAGTGGAAGAGCTCCGTCTCGCAAGCCCTGCGGAACTGCAAAAGGTCCCGCAGGGCCCTGATCTTCTCCGGGAGCTCATTACACCAGTGAGGAACCACCACCAAAAAAGCCCTGGCCCTCGTCGCGGTGAGCCTGGCCTCCTTGGGGGCAGGGAGGGTCAGCCGGTTCTGTGACCCCGATCTCAGTGGTCTCTGGGGTATATGTGGGGAAAGGCGGTCCCTCAGGTACGTCGGACCCTGGCCATATAGGGCTTTAAAGGTAAGTACCAGCACTGCAAATATTCCACACGTTCTTGCGGTGCCACCTGGGAACTGTAGCTCAATCAGGTGATTTCTGAGCATGGGCCAACGCGAGGAACGTCGCCAACCATTCAAAACACAGCTGAGGAACCCTTAGGCGTACATAACCCAGGCAAGTCAGTAATTTGCACGCATTACCGCAATGGTGCCTTGCCAGGCCAGATGCCAGGGTTCAGGCAGCAAGAACCCTCAAAATGCCGTTCACTTTGGCTCATGTCGAGCATCCTACCTGCTTGCACCACTGGTCTGCTCACAATTCAAGGTGGCAACAAACACACAAGAAACACGGCAAGGCTGAGTAAACAAAACTCACAGTTCTGATATGCTACTATGCCTTCATAGATTCGCTTAGATCACTGGTTCCCAAAGTGGGCAATACTACCCCCTGCGGGGGGGCGCTGGAACGATCCAGGTGGGCGGTAGAAGCCTTGGGTGCAATTGGGGGGCGTTGAATAAAAATAAGGGGGCAGTGGAAGCATACAGAAAGAAGAGTCCTACCTAAAGCAGCCTTTTCCTGCCTTCTCTCCTGGTCTTCCCTGGGATCAGGGAGGGAGGTGGAGGTGGAAAGGGGTCCCCACAGCCAATCACAGCCATGCATTTGCAAATGCATGTGCACCCCTGTAAGGCTGGTGTTGCTGCTGGGCTATTGTGTGGCGGCTGCTGCTGGCCTCCAGCTTCAGGCCAACAGCATCTTTCTTTACTATGTGCAAATTTGTAACTGCATCTTTTTGTCCACTTCTTGAAGGTAGATTTCTAGGGAGGCGCTGAGTAATTTTTTCCCCCCTGAAAAGGGGGCGGTAGGCCAAATAAGTCTGGGAACCTCTGGTTTAGATCATATACTGAAATATACAATAACGACCCTAGTGTATCTTATTAATTATACTACATTGATAACAAAAACCTAAGGCAAGATAGTCTACAGCACTGCATCCTGTCTGCATATTCGTCTCCGTAGCTGTGGACTTTTCTACAAGATATATATTGTTCTTTAGGGTTTTGTTATCAATGTACTATAATTAATAAGATACATTAGGGTCTTTATTGTATACTTAAGTATATGATTTAAACGAATATACGAAGGCATAGTAGCATATCAGAATTGTGTGTTTTGTTTTAACATGGTGTTTTTCCACGCTTACTCACAATTCAAAGTGAGCATCGTGAGCCGAGTAATTCCAATTCACCATCAAATTATAACAATTTCTTTGGGGGGGGGGGAGAGAGAATCCTGTGAAAGCAAGACCCTCCTTTTGTGGAGGAGGCAAAACTGAACCTGGTCAGATGGGAACAGCAGCCACAGCAATTAGCAGTCCTGGAAGCATGCGCAGCTGTATCTCTAAATCATACATCTTACAGCTAACTAGTAGGGCAATATGCACAGGGACGGGGCAAGAACCAATGGAGGAGGTCCCAGACCAAAGAGATACGTGCAGGTAATGAGAGGGGGGGCAATAGGATGAGCCCACCTAGCAACTTCCCCTCCTTCACCAGCTTTCCTCTTAATCCTAGGTGGGCCATAATTACTGGGGGAAGGGGGTACTCTGCACATGTTCATTAATAGATGCATTAGTAAAGCAAAAGCCCCTGGACTGGAGAAAGCTGGGAAAGTCTAAAAAATTTAAAGACAGGCTTATACCCAAATGAAGAACCTACACTGCCCATTTCCAAATAGGAACAGTACCGCTTCTGAGCACGTGCAGAGCCCCTACCAGCTGGACACTGCAAGCCATACAACTGCAAGAGATTGAGCGCAATTAATAACTATTTTGTTATTAAGACAACCCAGTCTTGTCATACAGGGACGCAGCACAATGCAGAGTTTCCTAGGCACAGAAAGTACACGTTCCCTGCCCCCCAAGAGCTTACAATCAAGAGACACTGCCTAGGTGAGAAGTGGTGAGAAATGGAGGCAGTTAAGCAATATGGGCTGAGAGAAGGATGACTGGTTGGCCAACAGCCACCAAAGGCTGGACTATCAGAACCCCAGAACCTGAGACATTAAACACAAATAGGCTCCATATTTAAGATCTACCAGGGCAGTGTCAGACCACGTTGTTCAGGAGCGAGAGCATATCCAGGGCCCTTCTATACCACAGCCACACACTCTTAGCCCGAGAGCCTATTGCTTCTCCAAGAGGAAAAATAAATATTTCTGAACAGTTCCAGAATCCTTTCACTCAAGAGTCCCACCACCACTGCCAATGCTTCTGCAAAACCTTTTTTTTTTTAAACGAAGAGAAACAAACGTTTCTAAGCAGTTAGTTCCCTAGCCCCAGAGCCTATCCCAAAGGGAAGCAATGCTACTAACTGGGCCCTTCACCAATGCTCCCTCTAAGATGTGGAGTCTTGTGAGCAAAAATTCTACTTTGTGAGCGCCTGGCATTAAAGTTGTGAGCGAGCAATTTGGCTACTGCATAAATGAGTTTGCTCTGGGGCCCTCCTGCCTGAGCAAAGACAAAAATGTGCGAGCCGGAGGCTAAAAAACTGTGAGCTAGCTCACACCAACTCAGCTTAGAGGGGACACTGTCCTTAACCCCAGGAAGGGCTCCCACCCCCCAAAAGGGGAAGTGATGCTTCTAGACAACCCCAGAAAATATCCCCCCCCCCCAAGTAAATATGGGGAAAGCAATGTTTCTGAGCTGGCCCCAAATCCTCCAACACTACAGTAGAGCTTCTCAAGGTTTAAGGACCAAAGGAAGCGGCGCTTCCCAAAGTTGACCCATTTCAGAACTCCAGCCCCCCAGCGGAGACCCGCAGCGCAGCTCACCTGTGGCCAGGTAATAACGCTTAACGCCGCTCTTGGCTTCCAGGTTGCTCAGGAAATCACCCAGCAAGCCCGGCCGGTTCAGAAACTCCTCGAAGCGTTCCTGCAGGGCGCCCATCGCGCTTCCTGTGGCTGACGGACTGCCCGGCAGAGCGAGCAGAACGCAGCTAGATCCGCTTAGCGCTAACGGGTGGGCAGGGCCGCGGGGCCACGCCTCCTCCCAGGCAAGAGGGCGTGGCCGGCAGGTGGAAGGGAGGGACGTCACAGTAGACAGGTGCGCACCCCAGCGCAGCCCTGCCCTGCCGTTGCCAACCTCCAGGCAATGTTCCCTCTAAGCTGTGTAGTCTTGTGAGCAAAAATTCTACTTAGTGAGCTACTGGCGTTAAAGTTATGAGCAAGCGATTTGGCTGCTGCATAAATTAGTCTGCTCTGGAGCCTTCCTTCCTGAGCTCAGACAAAAAGGTGTGAGCTAGCTCACATTAACTCAGCTTAGAGGGAACACTGCCTCCAGGTAGTGGCTGGGAATCTCCTGGGATCACCATTGAGCTCCAGGCAGCAGAGATCAGTTTCCCTGGAGAAAATAGCTGCTTTGGAGCGGGGCGGAAGACTGTGTGGCCTTGCACCCCACTGAAGCCCTTGCCCTCCCCAAACCTCGCCCTCCCCAGGCTATCCACCCCCCAAAAAAAACCCTCATTCTCCAGGTAACTTCAACCTGGAGTTGCCTACCCTATATGACGCCTCGTTCCTTCCTGGAGTTCAGGAGGGAGAGGACGAGGGTGCCTCTGAAGATGTGCAGAGAGCCTAACCACGTCTTAGGGGGCTGCTCCAGCCCCTTTTCGGGATAAAAACGGGCCTGCGGGTCTTGTTCCAGCACGACGCATGCTTGCTTGAGGGGAAACCTCCCCTTGGAACTCGGTGGAGCTTACTTTAGAGTAAATTTGGGGGGGGGAGAGACCCCCGCTGGAATCAGTGAAGCTTTGCTTCTGAGTAAAGCCCAGCCAGCGATTCTCCGCATGCTTACTGGCGAGTAAGCCCCACTCGCTGAACTGAAGGGTGGCTCACTTGCTAATAATAAGTAAACCTCTCCCTGCAGGGATTACGAAAAGCGCTCTGCGCACGCACACAGAGAGAAACTTTCGTTTTGGGAATACTCCCGTTCTTATTGTAGTTCCCCTCCAAATGGGACGTTCAATAGAAATATTTCTCATCCCGGGTTCCTTCGTTGAGCGCTGGGGGAATATATATAAAACCCATGCTCCCTCTAAGCTGTGGAGTCTTGTGAGCAAAAATTCTACTTTGCGAGCTCCCGGCATTAAAGTGGTGAGCGAGCGATTTGGCTGCTGCATAAATGAGTTTGTTCTTTTAGCCATCCTTCTTGAGCTAAGGCAAAAAGGTGTGAGCCGGGGGCTAAAAAAAACCCTGTGAGTTCACAGTTACTCATCTTAGAGGGAAGGAACACTGTATATAACATATCTAATAATAATGTATAATATATGAGCTGGGTTCTTTGAGCCTTGCCCTTAGCATGGTGGAAGCACGATATCCATCCAGCAAAAGAATACTTAACCACGTTCGGGTCCCGAGCCTTGAAATCCTAGAAGGCGTCGTCGCCTTTAAGGCCGCATCTCCCGTGGAAAACTACAACTCCCCTCGAGGCTCTGCGGTTATTTGCCGCCCGTCCACGCTTTAAGCCCGCGCACGGGCCAATGGGATTTGTAGTTCCCGTTTCTCCTCTTTCGCTTCCGGTTGCTATGGCTACCCGCGCGGTTCCGAGCACGTGGAGAGACTGAGAGAAGCCCTTCTTAGGCGCCGGGGGGGCCGGGCGTGGAGTGAAAATCGAGGCCCGGGCTTGAGAGGGGAGAGTAGGCCGCAAGCCCAATATAAGAGTCTGAACCGCCGTGGCCCGGGGACATCATGAGGGGGATGGTGGCTACCGAGCTCGGGCTTTGCCTGCTGCTCCTCTGGTGCGGCTTCTCTAGGGGTCGCGTAGGGCTGCGCGTTTACTTGAGCAGCTGGGCTGTGCGCGTCCCTGGAGGCGTGCAAGAAGCGCAGCGCGTGGCGCGCAAGCATGGGCTGCTCTACATGGGCCAGGTGAGGGGAGGGGGGGTCTGAGGAGGAGGAAAGTTTTTTTTCTAAGAAAATGTGGTGCACATAGAGCAAGGGGTGGTGGTTTCGCCTTTGGGTAAAGGTGTGGCTCAGAGCTTCTGAACCTGAGCATGTGTGGAGTGTCTCACCTGAAAACAAGGGGTGTATTTTAAAATAATAGGCAATATGCTTTTTTTTTTTTTTTTTAGCATATTTGGAATTGCAAAATGGGTTTTATTTGTTTTAGAGCTCTTTGAACATAGGTGGAATAACCTTCACTGAGCTGGAGAAAAAAGTATGTTATTTAAAAAAAATTTTTTTAAGGGTCCCTAAGCATTTGGCTGCGATGGCTCAAGTGGTTAAGCTGCTGAACTGCAGGCTGTGGAAGGTCGGTAGTTCAGCAGTTCGAGACCCGAGTGTGCCACATGACGGAGTGAGCTCCCGTCTCTAGTTCCAGCTCCTGCCAACCTAGCTGTTCGAAAGCAAGAAATTGCTAGTAGATAAACAGGTACCACTTCGGTGGGAAGGTAACAGCGTTCCGAGCGCCTTGGTGTTTAGTCATGCCGGCCACATGACCACGGAAACGTCTTTGGACAGCGCTGGCTCTTCGGCTTTGAAACGGAGATGAGCACTGCAACCCTAGAGTCGGATTCGACTGGCTTTCGAGCAAGGGAACCTTTACCTTTTAAGCATTTGGCAGTATGTGTTCCCTGAGCTGGACAAAGGTATATGTGTTTTAAAAGGCCATAGTCCGGCCTCTGAACATGTGCAGAGTGTCTTCCCCTGAGCTGGACAAAGTGTCTGTTTAAAAAGCCTTTTGGCCAGTTTCCTCTGAGCCATTTCATGGAGCCACCAGGCAGTGTTCCCTCTAAGCTGAGTTAGTGTGAGCTAGCTCACAGTTTTTTGGCCCTTGGCTCACACACTTTTGTCTTGCCTCAGGAAGGAGGGCTCCAGAGCAAACTAAGTTATGCAGTAGCCGAATTACTCGCTCAAAACTTTAATGCTAGTAGCTTACAAAGTAGAATTTTTGCTCACAAGACTCTACAGCTCAGAGGGAGCATTGCTGCCAGGTAACATCTTGTAGAAGTTATTATTATGTAGCGCAGTCACTGGGCATGGCACAGGGTACCTATCAAAAATGCAGGTCCCTGCCCTGAGTTGCTTACCAACCAGAATTCAACCCAGGGGAAGACTACAGAGGGCTAGGAGAAAGACACAGACATTTCAGCTCAGACCTGTGTGTGTGTGTTACGTGTAGGACCTTTGAGCATGTGCAAAGGGTCTTCTCTGAATGGTACTATCTTTTCTTTTTTGGAAAAAGACAACCCACATCTTATAAAAAGGAATGGGGGAAGGGTGAAGCAACTAGTCCTATAGGGCTTCTTCTTTCAAGCTTTCCCCCCTCCATTTCTGGAAACTTTACGACTGTGACAAATTCTAGCTAAGCCAGTTAAAATCAGCTTGGTTAGCTGCTCGAATGGGAAAGGCTTTTCTTTCTTAAATGAGCACCGAAGGGCAAAGCATTCCTGAGCATACGAAGAGCGCTCCTTTCTATTGCAAAGCATCATTTGAAAGACCTCTCTGCAATTATTATAAGACTCGGAATAAGGCCCATTGTGGAAATAAATACAATGGACGCTGGAAAGAGGCTCTGGGAGAGTGCCAAGGCCGTGGACACTCAGAATCAATTTGCCATGGCAACCTAAGCAGGGTATAAGGACACAGAGTCCACCATTTTCTCCAGGGGAATGGATCAATGTCATCTGGAGAGCAGTTGCGATTCTGAGTGGTCCCCAGCCCCCACCTGGAGATTGGCAACAGTGGTTCCCCATTACGGAATGGCTGGTTTGGAGGGCAGAGTCTATGGCATTGTACCTGTCTGAGGCCCCCCCTCCTCCTCAAACCTCACCCTCTCCAGGCTCCATCTCTCAAATCTCCAGGATTTTCCCATCTGGCGTTGGCAACCCTATCTACTTCCCAGCCAAGCATCAACCTACACCCCCCATTGATCAGCTTTCCATCTCCCCCCCACCAGCAGCCCCCACCGTGCTCTGAAGCCCTGACTGCCACGTATCTGTAGCAGTAATATCTGTGGCAGTAATGGGGTGACTGCTGGCACCTTTTCCTATCATTTTTTGCCTTGTGGTATTCAGTA